TCTGTATCGGTTAAGTTGCTTTATTTTCGGTATTGGTCATCTGTATCGGTTAAGTTGCTTTATTTTCGGTATTGGTCATCTGTATCGGTTAAGTTGCTTTATTTTCGGTATTGGTTATATGTATCGGTTAAGTTGCTTTATTTTCGGTATTGGTCATTTGTATCGGTTAAGTTGCTTTATTTTCGGTATTGGTCATCTGTATCGGTTAAGTTGCTTTATTTTCGGTATTGGTCATCTGTATCGGTTAAGTTGCTTTATTTTCGGTATTGGTCATCTGTATCGGTTAAGTTGCTTTATTTTCGGTATTGGTCATCTGTAACGGTTAAGTTGCTTTATTTTCGGTATTTTTTTTTTTTTTTTTTTTTTTTTTTTAAGTCGTGATATATAATAATATAAGTCTGATACATATATAATAATATAAGTCGTGATATATAATAATATAAGTCTGATACATAAAAATATTTAAGACTTCTACAAGAAAAGAAAAAAAAAAATGAGTATATATATATATATATATATATGTATATACAATTCAGCGTACTAACAATATAAGACTAGGTTTCCGAAAGAAGATCAGAAGGATCTTATCACCGGAACCTTAAAAAAGACATAATGCAAATATGCAATATACTAATACAATATAACATAATGCAAATATACAGTATACTAACATTTTAATACTCAATATGCTGAAGATTTGAAAAATACATTTTACATAAATTTTTAGTAGAATTTTAGAATGTTGTCCATACAGAGAATGAAGTTTTTTAATTTAGTTTTAAAAACAGGAAGAGTAGTAGAAGGGTCAAAATTTGGTAATACTATTTTATTCCAAAGATGGGGTGCACGATATGCAATACAGAATTGGTTGAACTTCGTTTTACAAAATGGTTCATTTAGAAAACTATTACTTCTTAATGTGTATTTATTTATTGGTTTTAAAGAAAAAAGGTCATTGAAAACAAATAAAGATAAATCGTTTTTCCACATAAAAGTAAAACATAAAACATTAAATATGTTAAGTTTATAAACATCTAGTACATTCATATAATCAAAAAAATATTTCGAACGTGAAAAGCGATCCGCATAATTAACTACACGGATTGCATGTTTCTGACGGCGATAAAGATGTTGTAATTTACTTTTCTCCGTACTTCCCCAGGCTATGATTGCATAATTTATATAATTATGTATAAATGAATAATAGAGCTGGGTTAAGTTTTTTTTGTTTAGATAATTTCGAGCTTTGTATAAAATGCCAATATTTTTGGAAACTTTGGTGCTTATATGATCAATATGCTTTCTCCAAGTAATATTTTCATCAAGATAAACACCTAAGAATTTTATAACAGTATCTCTTTTTATTATAGTTTCATCAATGTAAATTTGAGGCATATTATTTGTTAAAAATCGTTTTTTTGCGCAGGAGTGAAAAATAATCCATTTTGTTTTGTTAATATTTAAAGTTAATTTATTAGCTTTGAACCAGTTCGAAATGTGTTTGAGTTCTTTGTTTGTAGTTGAAAAGAGTTCATAAATATCAGTATGGGATAAGAAAAGATTAGTATCATCAGCGAACATTATACTTTTCAATTTGGAAGCTTTGTTTAAATCGTTTACATAGATTAAAAATAGTAGCGGTCCGAGAATAGAGCCTTGAGGAACACCACAAGTTATGCTCAGGGGTTCACTTTGATAACCATCATTACTATACACAAGTTGCTTTCGATTTGTTAAATAGCTTTCAAACCATTTTAAAATTTTATTGTTTAAACCATAATATTTAATTTTTTGGATTAAGATGTGGTGATCGACCGTATCAAAAGCTTTTGATAGGTCAATAAAGACACCTAGTGTGTATTGAGATTTTTCAAAAGATTTAGAGATGTTATGTATAAATTGAATGATGGCATGTTCAGTTGAGCTCCCTTTTCTGAAACCATACTGATTGTTATATAATAAATTGTTGTAATTAAAATAATTGTATACTCTATTGAAAATAATTCTTTCTAAAATTTTAGAAAATATAGAAAGAACAGAGATAGGGCGATAATTATTGATATTGGATCTGTCGCCTTCTTTATGGAGAGGGGTAACTCTGGCAAGTTTTAAACGTTCAGGAAAAATACCTTGATGAATAGATGCTCTGAAAATTTTGAAAAGAATATTTTTTAATTGTTCATAGCAATCTATGACAATATTCCCGTTTATTTCATCTGCACCAGGTGCTTTATTCTTTTTTAAAGATTTAAAAGCTTTCTCAAACTCATCAAATGATAGTTCAGCAGATAATTCTTTAGAGGAAATATTTTTATCAAAAGGTAACAAAAAATCATAAAATGAGGTCTGAGTTTTTTGTATTTTACTTGATAAGATTGATCCAATTTCAGTAAAATATTTATTGAATTCATGAGCTATTATTTGTGGCTCATGCAAGCTATTGTTATCGATTTTAAGCATTTGTGGCAAAGAGCTTGAGCATGTTTTTTGTTTTCCTGTAATTTCTTTTAATATTTGCCAAGTGCGTTTTGAGTCATTTTTAGCTTTATTAATTAATTTTGAATAGTAATTTTTTTTTAATTTTTTTCGGATTTTTTCGAATAGATTTTTGTAATCTTTGTAAATTTTTTCGCTATCTGGTGTTTTTGTTTTTAGATATTTTATGTATAGCCTTTGTTTAGTTTTGGATGATTTTTTGAACCCCTTGGTAATCCAGGGATTATCAAAGTGTTTTGTTTTTAATGTAATTGTAACAATTGGAAAATTAGACTCGTAAACAGAGATAAAAGTTTCATAGAATTTTTCATAAAGGTTGTTTGCATTTTCATTAAAATTTAAGTGTTTCCAATGTAATAATGAGAGCTGATTTTTAAAGGCCTCAATGTTTGATGATGTATAAAAACGTTTTTTTACAATTTTATTTAATTTTTGTTTAGGCAGTTGGTCGTTGTTTATAGTTAGAAAAATAGGAAAGTGGTCCGAAATATCCGTTTTTAAGATACCCAATTTTATATCATTGTTGAACAAGTCTGTGGTAATGATATTATCCATTGTATTGGCCATCTGTATCGGTTGAACAAGTCTGTGGTAATGATATTATCCATTGTATTGGCCATCTGTATCGGTTAAGTTGCTTTATTTTCGGTATTGGTCATCTGTATCGGTTAAGTACTTCGATAAGATTTTTTTTTTAATAAGATGTTCCGAAAATCTTCGTAGCTTTATCACTGGGCACCGCATAATATCATTTAACAAGGAAGTTATAGTTCACTCTCCAATTTTGGTTCTGAGCCAAAAATTTAATCACTGCACCACGGCTGCTATAAGTTAACCACTGCGTTAAGGCTGCTATAAATTATTCACTGCACTACGGCTGCTATAAAATTATCGCTGCACTACGGCTGCTATAGATTAATCACTGCACTTCGGCTTCTATAAATTAATTACTGCACTACGGCTGTTATAAATCAATGGCTAAATGTCAAAAATTATTTACATGAGTCAAATTTTATCAAAAACTTAAAAACTATGTAAAGCGAAAAAAATAAATAAATCCGTTATTTAGCTTGGATTATGTTTAGAACAATGGTTTTTGTGTGGGTGGAATATTTTTTTTCATAATACCATTCCACTCACAGTTACGTTGAGATAAGATTTTATATAGAACTTCGTTCTTTCACGGCAGAATTAAAAAAAAAAAAAAATCTACGCCACTGGAGCCAAATTATTTTTTTTTTTAAACTTTATTGAGTTGAACTTTACTAACTGATGCAAGCTCATGGCAACCACAAACAAGAGATCAAAATACAAGTATAAAATTTAAATAAGAATCAACTACCTAAAGTTCAATTTTATTGAATTTTAAGGTAGTTGCAGGAAATAGAGAAATTAAAAAGATAAAATGTATTTAGTAAAGGAACAAAAAAATAGTTTTTATGGAATTGAAGTATGGTTTAACCTCCTAAAAGAGAAAGAATAGATCAAGTTAGTTTAGAGCCAAGACAAATTGACATGTTTTTGAGGTTTTAAAACCAGAGCCAAGACAAATTGACAAGTTTTTGAGCTTGGGCACCAGGAAGGTGTGCATCTTTTTTGAATATTGGAAGAGATGTATTAAACTTAGATATATAACAACAATACACATTTTTTTAAAAATTTAAACTAAAACTTTTTTCCGCATTTTTTCCCCTCAATGTTATTATTATAATTTAGTATAAATGAATTGGTATTCCTTTAGTTATATTATTACTTTTTAACTACATGTCGTATTAAACAAAGTATTAAAAAAAATAAAGCGAACTAATTTATGTAAAATTATAAACCTAGCAGTCATTAAATACCCTCAAAACTCTCTAGTCGCAATAGTTCTATCAATCGTTTAGCGACTAAACCATCACCAGATTTTAATCAAATCTGAATGGTTAATTGGAAAACATTGCTGAATTTTCTATTTCTATTGCATACTACTTGAATGTGAATTAAACTTTGATACTGTTGAGTGTAACATCACTTAAAGATTCATATACATTTAAATAACAGTTTACTTTTATTATACTGCGAAAAGATTTATAACGAGTGGGCATTGGACGTCCTAAGACGTCTAACAGACGTTCATTTGACGTCCAATGCCCACTGGGTATTTGCTTTAATGTGCGATACATCTTATTAAAATTATCTAAAACAATTTTTGACGTAACAAAATACTTTCCAGATATTTTCCAAAATAGTTTCCAGATTTTAAGTATAATAATTTAGTTATAACAACGGTATTGAAATCTTGCAAGTTTAACAAAAAATGTTTTATAATGCTTTTATTTTTAAACCAAAGTACATTAGCAGCTGTTACGCTATAATATTCTGATCTTAAAACTTGATTTAAAATTTTTTATCATAATTTACTGAAAAAGTGATAAATTATTTCATGTGAGAAAGATGAGGTAAGACTTAGCACTGAAGCCAAGGTATTAATATAGACTTTATAAAGATGCAAAAATTCTTACCGTTTTGATTTGACATGATGTTTGGTAAAATAAATGGATTAAATTTTTCTTTAAGGAGTTCTATTCTCAAGATGACTAGTTAACCCAGCATTTGCTAACTTACTTTAAAAATTTATCGAGGCAACCCTTACGGTTCACGCGAAGACGTACTTTTAATTTATTGAAATTGAGCTATAAATGTTTTCGGCCGAGTATTAGCTATTCACTTTCTTCGTCTGTTTTGTTCTCTCAACTATTTCAGATATTGCTATTAAAAAAAGCATTAAATTAGATTCAGTCAACTCAACTAAATATATATGTTAAAAGAGATAACAACAACAACAACAACAACAACAACAACAACTATAACAACAACAACAACAACGCCAACAACATAAATGCCAACAACAACAACACAACAACAACAACAACGCCAACGCCAACAACAACAACAACAACAACAACAACAACAGCAACAACAACAACAACAACAACAATAACAACAACAATCCGAAAAAAACGCACTGTACATCTTATACAGCTAAACTATTTAATTTCATTCTATAGATATTTTATCAATTATTTTAATTTATTAATCTATTTTATCAATTATTCCATCGATATTAAATCGATGGAATCATTGATAAAATCGATATATATATATATATATATATATATATATATATATATATATATATATATATATATATATATATATATATATATATATATATATATATATATATATATATATATAATTTAAATTTGATTTCTCACTTCATAATTTGAAGTTTTCAAGCAATTTCTCACTTCACTTACTTGAAGTTTTCAAGCAATACTTTATCTAATAAAAGGCTTAAGGAAATCTTTTTTTATCCCGTAAAGTTATATAACAATTGTTTTTTACAGTAAAATTTTAACTTTGGACACGCAATATTTACTTGTACAAGCTTTTTCAAACTCGCGCATCCTGATCCGCAAATGAACGAGCTGGGAAGCACAATAAATTCAAAAGTAAACGTTTTTATTGCTAAATAAGTACACAATAAATACAAAAGTAAACGTATTCATTGCTAAAAAGAACTAATAAAATAAAGTTTTAAAAAATTATAAAAATGTAAAAAATATATAAGATTATTTACATAAAAAGTATTTAGTTTCGATTTCGGTTTCGTCAGTTGATAAGTTAACTTTGTTACATAACATAAAATAATTTTTTTTTCAATAATAAAGTAGGAAAATAAAACTTTTTTCTAAAATCGCAAAATTAGCATCTTTTCGAAAAATAAATTTGTTGAACAATTATTTAAAAATTTGGAAATCACTTCAAATATAATAAAATCATACGTCAATTTTTATTGGATTTTAGTACGCACTTTTTTTCAGACTTGACAAGATATTTTTTTTACCCTAATCTAAACCACGGCGTTAATTTTTGGCCAAAAACCTTTTAACGCGAATTGTTTGCACGACTATTAAAACTAAATTTCGTGTAGACTGAAATATTTTTACGTTTGGTTCAGTCTACACTAAAATATGCAGTTAAGTAACCAAGGCTCATGGTTTAATTGGTCAAAAGTTGAATGTTTTAATGTGTTAATATGTTGAAATAGTAGTTGTACTTTTTGTTCATGGAAGAATATATGTATATTTACATATTTTTTGTATTATTTTAATCATACACCAATTTTTAAAACAGTTACACCAATTTTTAAAACAGGTGATCCTTCTGATGTTTCCAACTACAGACCGATCTCTGTTCTTAATTGTTTTTCAAAGATTTTGGAGCGTATAATGTATAATAGACTTTATTCTTTCTTAAATGTAAATAATATTCTTTACAATAAACAATTCGGGTTTAAACCCGGTCATTCGACCGATCACGCAATAATTAATCTTGTGCATGAAATTTTTAAAGCGTTTGATGAAAAAAAAATTTACTTTAGGTGTCTTTATTGATCTGAGCAAAGCGTTTGATACCGTAGATCATAATATTCTTCTTTATAAACTTAAAAATTATGGTATCATAAATTCTAACTTAGGCTGGTTTAAGAGTTATTTAAAGAATAGGAAACAATGCATTTTATATGATGGCGAGAAAACAGACTTGATGACATTTACCTGCGGAGTCCCTTAAGGATCAATTCTAGGACCGCTTTTATTTCTCATTTATATAAATGATTTGAGTAAATTTTCCAATATCTTAAATTCAATTTTATTTGCTGACGATACTAACGTATTTTATTCAAATATAGATATTAATTTTTTATTTACAACAGTGAACGAGGAGCTTGTGAAACTAAGCGAATGGTTTATATCAAATAAATTGTCAATAAATATTAAAAAAACAAAATATACTTTCTTCCATCGTCTTCATGATAAAGACAACATACCCTTACAACTTCCTAAGCTTTTTATTAATAACTCTTATGTCAAAAGAGAGAGTTCTTTGTTGTTTCTAGGCGTTGTTTTAGATGAAAACGTAACATGGAAGGAGCACATACGAATAATCCAAAATAAAATTTCAAAAAATATAGGCCTTTTATACAAAGCAAAACAGTTGTTGAACCAAACTTGTTTGAAACTTATTTACTTTTCTTTTATTCATTGCTATCTTAAGTTACGCCAACGTTGCTTGGTGCAGCACTAATGTATCTAAAAATAAAGGGCTTCTAATTAAACAAAAACACGCTCTAAGAATTATTGGAAATGTGAATCGCTTTTCGCACACTAAATTACTTTTTAATAAATTCAAAATAAATTAACGTATTTCAACTTAACCTATATCATCTTTTTATATTTATGTTCAAAGTAGATAATAAAATGGCACCCATTTTATTTAATTCATTTTTTGAAAAAATAAATCATTTATACCCAACAAGATTTTCAAACAACAATTATATTCAACCAAAAAAATATTATTCTGCGACTAGGTTCTCGATAGCAATCAGAGGACCTAAATTATGGAACACCCTATTGGATAATGAGTTTAAAAAAATTTCTTCCCTTGATCAATTTAAAAAAAATAATAAAAAGTAAACTCTTGATAATTGACAATGAACTTGACTTCTTCTGAAACTTTTAAATAGGAGTAATCACTTGTTTTTTACTTGATATTTAATTTATTTTTAACATATTAATTTTTGATTTTAATTTGAATCTTTACCTTCTTAAATTATCATGTTTTATCTCATTTTTATTTACTATTAAAATTTGAAATCCTAATAAAAAAAAAAAAAAAAAAATATTAAATTTTAATGAAAAATATTTAGATATTTGTCTTTATATATGTACCTTACGCATATATTATATTGTGATAACGAATTTTTTTTTGGTTTTTTGGTTTTTTGTTTTGTTTGTTACTTATATTCTTGTTTGAAGGGGCTTGGCGATAAGACTGAATTTGTCTTCTTCTTGCCCCAGCCGTGTATATACAGTTTTTAAAGTCTAATTTTGTAAATATTTTCTTTATGGCGAAATATATATTATATTTATTTATTATATTTATTAAATAAGTCTACAAAAAGACGCTCGATAAACCACGATGTTAACTCTTCTATACACACAGTTTTACATTTGAAATTGATACTTATATTAATATCTTTCTTTTTAGCTAGAGATTTTGAAAGTTAATAAAGATATCTTGAGATATCTTATTTTTTCTTGTAAAAATTGACATTTTTGATTTTTAAAAAATCCTAAAACCTAAAATAATGAATTAACTTAAAATCTCTAACTAAATATGGACCTTACACACTAAGGACCATTTGTGAAATTATTTTATAAATGAAGTAAAGAAACGTATGAGTTTATCTCTGATGTTTCAATGTGACTTTTTAACTAATTTTCAGTAAACTGGCAGCCATTTTTAAAAAGTATTTTTTTGTTATTTGATTAAAAAACAACAAACTATTTTTAAAACTTTATCTTGAATGTTAAATGTAAATGTTTGACAGTTTTTATTTATTTGTCGCTTGACATTAAAATTTTTTTTTTTAATTTTGTATTTGATAAAATATGTTTGATCAAAATAAAATTTATTATTAGGTATAAATATATATATATATATATATATATATATATATATATATATATATATATATATATATATATATATATATATATATATATATATGTATATATATATATATATATTATATATATATATATATATATATATATATATATATATATATATACATATATATATATATATATATATATATATATATATATATATATATATATAAAACAGTATGAAAAAATGTTTTCAAATATCTTAACTTGCAACGTGTGACTGGCTACACATCGGTGTTGTCAGTGTTTAATCGAGAAATGCATTCAGAACATTTTATGAAGTAAGTTTATGTTTATTCTACATTATTGTGTTATTAAAATATTTAAACACATTAAATATTACTTTTTATTTTATTTGGCTAAGGTAAGCAGGCTTTGTGAGAAAAAAAAAATAGCTTGAAAGTTTTTGAAGTTCCAAGTTTTATCTTTTTATTATTAGATCTTCATAGTTGTTTATATTAGTTATTATTTTTACTTTTATACTTTTGTTTTGTTTTCTGTTTTACTTCATATTTATGAATATCAAAGTTATGTATATTAAATTTTAAATTTGTATACTTGCATTGTTACTTCATTAAATATTTTTATAAAGGATAAATATTTTACTTGTTTACATATTATTAACTTATTAAGTTATTATTAAGTTGATAAACAAATTGATTACAACAGTGTTAATGAAACACTTCCAGTAATGTAAAGATTGGTACTACTGTGAATAAAATGTATTAACAGCTGCAAAAAACTATGAATTATAATTAGCATATTCAAACAGCTATTTGTTACATTAAATAAGTAATGAACTAAAGTGGTTACAAGTTTTCTATTTTTACAAATGTTGGTGTATATCTTAAAAAACTGTGTTTCTCTTATTTATATTTATTAATATCTATTTATATGTTGCGTGTTCAAAAACCAAAAGAATTTTTAGTTTGTTTTTCAAAGTTGATAAACATCTGATAAATGGTATCAGATATACTTTGTATGAGGTTGTAGTAATCTGATATAAGGTATCAGCTTTTCAAAACCTTGATGTTTGTGTTAAGTTTATCTAAGTAAAGCCATGATCCAAGCAGAGATGCGGAGCATTAAAAGGACTCAGGACTTGTATGTCACAAAAAGATTACTTCAAGTATTGTGAATTTCAAAATAGGTATCAGAGATGTAATGACTTGCAAGGTTGCCCAGTTTTATGGCTTTTTATTAAAAAAATTGTGCTGTCAAACATCAAAAATAATGTACAAGCAACAAATTTTTTGATTTAATTGTATATCTGAAAATATTTTTGCATTTTCATTATATCTCATTTTCAGAAATTATATTTTTTCGGACTTGGATTTTATTTATATCATTTCAAGATATTTTCTTATAACCTTCATAAAAAAAATAAGATATTCAAAATATGAAAATAATTTATTTCTATTAGTTTGTGCAAATATTACCTGTAAAAAAATATCAATAAGATGGCATCTTTCCTTATGTTATGCTTTTTCTTTTTTTAAATAAATTAAGGTGTAGATGTATATAGTAGTTCTATTGGTTAAGGTTAAGTTATTATATTGGTTTAAGAATAAATTATTATATTGGTTTAAGATTAAGTTAAGGTTACCTATTTAATTCACAATACATCTAAAGCTTGGCTGTTCAAAAATCTATGCAAATTACAGTGTGTAGATTTATAAAATAGAATTTACAAATTGAATGAAAATAGAACATATATGATAAATTGATACGACAGTAGTAAAATGTTATTTTTATTTTTTAGGTACTGGCAGGCTGTACTTGACGACTTACTTTCTTGCAACGAAATCAAAAGAACCTTCAACTACAAACCAATTAAAACTTTTTTTATAGCAGCATTTTCTTCTAAGAATTTTTCCTATATTTTATTTACTAATCAGATTACTTGTATTTCATAATTTCTTTAAATTAATTTTGGAGATTTTTAGATTAAAATTTTAGTGTTTTACAAAATTTTAAGTTTAAAAAATTATTTTACATATGGATTTTTTGTTTTTTAATAATTAATTTTTATTCAGAAGTACAATTATAATTGGAGTGTCCAATTTTTGAAATAGTTTTTCTGCAAATATCAGTTTAATATTATGTTACCAATGTGAAAGTATAATCTCAAGATATGACTTAAAAAACTGTAGGATGAGGTGGATAAACATACGCTTTGTTTTCTTATAAATAAAATTTAAGTTTAGCGCAAAATGTCTGTACCGATAGAAACCACTCGCAAAAATTTTTGATATTGATTAGTCTTTTAAAATTTTACTGTTATTTTTACATTGTTTCTTCTTAATATGACATTAAGCGCTCAAAATGGCAATCGGGAGATCTTTGAACAAAAATTAACGCCGTGAAACTTGGGTAAACATTGTTTAGTGATACACTTTTTTTTATACAACTCGAACATCCTGTAACACCACAGATCCGAACAATAAAGAGCTGGGAAACACAAACAACCAAAAACAAATATAAAGATATTTCTTGGTAAAAAAACAAACAAACTAAAACAAAGTTTTACAAAATTGAAAAGGATATATATATATGTATATATATGTATATATATATATATATATATATATATATATATATATATATATATATATATATATATATATATGTATATATATATATATATATATATATATATATATATATATATATATATATACACATATATATATATATATATGTATATATATATGTATGTATATATACATATGTACATATATATATATATATATATATATATATATATATATATATATATATATATATATATATATATATATATATATATATATATATATGTATAAATATGTATATGTATATATATATATATACACAAAGACGATTCTTCGAATAAAATAAGGGGGGGAGGTGATCTTTTAAAAGTACTAACTGGTTTCTTAAAAAAAATTAAAAAAAAATCCTCAAAACTAAAATTTACCCGACTGAACGTTGTACGACGACTTTTCCTTTCACAAATACGAAAGCATACATACACATATAAAATAATTGAATAATATCGTAATTTAAGTAAACTTAATTAAGTTTACTTGATATGATAATAGGACTTTAAAGCATAATTTGAAAGTCAAAAGCACGCTATTGTTTTTATGATTTTCAACTAACTGGAAAATACTTTGATATTTCTATTCATTCAGGAACTGTAATCTCGCTTGTTTTTATCTTACTTTATCTGATTAATTCGCAAAATACCAATAGTCCATACTCAGAAGCTTCATTCTCCAGACAAAACTTTTGAAAACAGTCATAAATTTGATACATTAAAGATAAACAAGTTTCCGTCTTGAATAGCAAACAATCAAGAAACTTAAAACAACAAACCAAAAAGTTTATTACAAAAGTTACAGTATTTTGATATACATAAGAATTTATTGTATTATATTGATTACAACAGAGTTTTATAAAATCTAAAATATTCATGTGAAAATAGTAAGATACAAACATAAAGATTAGGAATGCATCATAATTGCTTAATTGAATAACAATAGTCAACCAGCAAACAGATGTCGGATTTGTTATACAACCAACAAATACTTAATTGCTGCATTTGTCATTCAAATGCAGCAGTTAGGTATTTGTTCGTTGACTGTTATGATTTAATTAAACGATGACGTTGATTAAAACATTAAGTTAAGCGATGACGCTAAACTTAATGTTTGAATCTCATCATCGTCCAAAAAAAGATATTTGGCATAAAGCCTTGTTGTGGTCAGTGAAATATATTCCAATGTAAATGGAAATACCTTTAAATATATTCCGATGTAAATGAAAATACCATAAAATATATTACGATGTAAATAAAAATACTGAACTATTGTAATGAACTTTTTTATTTGTTGTTTTAAGTTTCTTGATTGTTTACAATTCAAGGCTAAAACTTATTTATTATTATTATATTATTTATTATTGTTATTATTATTATATTATTATTATTATTATTATATTTATTATATTATTAAGGCTAAAGCTTATTTGGTATTTATGTTTTCGCCTGATCCAAAAGAGAGCAAAACATGGCCAACGTACGTTGAACCTAATTGTTGTTAAATCGAGTAACATTTCCTTTTTAGTTCATCCGAAACCATTAATAAAGATACAAGTATGATAAAATACAGTATCAAGTAAACCAATACTACTAGGATGTAAAGCCTCACCACTAATCACCTACTGCTGATCTAACTACTAAATCCATACTACACAAATGACAAGAATTTGTTATTAATAATTGACTTTTGTAAGTTGAATTTGTATAATTATTATAAACATATTTGTCTGTTTAGCAAGTATTTCTACGTAAACTATGCATATATTCAAAAAAATAAAAAGTCTAGCTGAGATCGTACCCGTAAAAATACTGGTCTTAAGTCTATTCTAAACTGAACTTTTCTATACTTTTTCCTTATATATCCTAGCTTTCCAGATTCGTAAAATACGGGTCTTTACCAAATCTGCTGTTTTTATACATATCTATTCAACACCGATTATTTATATATCTATTCCTTATTTATTTCAATATTTTTAGTAAAATAATTTATTCAGAAAAAAATAGTTAGGACTGAAAAACTTAATAAGCGCACTTTTTCCACATACGTAGAGCTTATAAGAGACTTATAACTAGGTTTGTTTTTCTCCTAAATGCATTTCAATCATAGCTCAGTGGTTAAGTGCGCTGTTTGTTTTGGGGGAAGGGGGGTGGTTAACACCTCTACTTAGCGCAATAAATTTTGAAATTTTTTTAATCTCGCTTATATATTTTTAGTAAAAAAGACTTTTAAAATTTAAAATTCTTAAGTTTTCCTATTTAATAGATACGAATTTATCTCTATATAATGCCAAAAAACTCAACATAAGTAGTAGGAAGTTGCCGGTTCTGGCTCATTTTTTTTAACCAATTTAATAACCATATTTCATAAAGTAATGAGTCAGAAGTCATCCAAAAACTTAACCATATTTATCTAAAACTTTTAACTAAAATCTTAACTGTATCTAAATGCTTATTCTGGTTCATTTTTTTTTCCAGTTAAAGTCATAATCATAACTAATAATCTTAACTTTAAACTAAAATCATAACCATAACTTCTTGATCAAAATATTTTAACTAGTAACATAACCATTAAATTAAGCGCAAAGTAATTTATGAACTAAAATCATAAAAATCATAAAAATTCTTATAAGTCTAAGAGATGATAATAATCATAGAACACGCTTTAAGAAAAAAAAATTCGAAATCATTAAATTAATTTGAAGTTATATGAAACAGATACAACTACTGTATTATACTCTCACTATGAGATAGTGGGCGTTGACTTTCATTATATTGGCGATACTTATTTAATTGCTCAATATGGGCGTTGCTCAGTTTCGGTTCTATTTTTCTTCCGTAATCTCTATTAATGGTCTTCGCCAGAAAGCAGCCAATTTATTTCTTTAACACTTTTGTTAGTAGCCATTTCGAAATGAACGAATACAACTATAAATGACTAAACGCAAATCTAAAAAATGTTTTTTAAATATCATCACAATATATTTTTGAAATATATAACCTTTCACGTATAAATATTGTAAAATAATAAGCTTTTATTAAAATATTTATTTATTAAAAGGAAATGGGATGTAGAATACAAATATTGTGCTTTAACTATAACGACCTTGTAGGACGTTTTTATTTTATTCCATACACTGAGTATAAAAAAAATACTTCCTTGGCCATTGGCTGTATTTAGATTGCCGCTGTAAAATCTCATCTCCTTTCTTATCTCCTCCAACCGAAGTAAGAAAGTTCATTTAAAATAAGAAAACAAATGTAATATAATTGGTTGCACTAAAAGTATAATGGTTCCTCATGTGTATGTATTAGACGGTTTTCCATAATGTTATTCTTATTAAAATATGACATTATGGAAGAGTAAAAGCAATTGGTTATAAACAGATTCTGACATCTGTAGCGGTGAATACACCCTACAGATGTCATAGATATCTAAAATTTGTAGTTATTGCTACACAAATTACGTTACTAAGTGGGCATAAAAGATAAAAATCACAATAAAATGTAATAAACATTTATATAAAATATTCTGATATACAACATAATTATAGTCGATCATGTATCATATTGTATCAATAGTTTGTATGTTTCATATAAATGTATCACATATTTGAAAAATTAGAAACTTTAATAGCACATGGTACTGTTTCCAAAAACTATTAACTAATATCAATTCACTGATATATACTATTGATTCATAAGGTGTCTTTGTTCCATATTTTTTCTTCTAGGTATAGAAGATCTTTTTTACCTCTACAACCGGCAAATAATTCCAATAAATCGAAAGAGATAGTTAAGCAAAGCTCTGATGAAATCACTTAACCCTAAAACACTTATGATTTCTTTAATCTTGAGAAACTGAGAGACAATATCATCAGTGTCACTTTTTTTGTAACCTGCATCCTTTTAAGCTAAGGGCATAGAAAATTCCGTTCTATAGCAATCGCATAACTGTCAAAAAAAGTATAAAGAAGAGAGGAAACGATACTAAACAATAAACATTTACTATATTTGAGTCAAACATTTCTGTTTAGATAAAAAACAAAGATAATACTGTAAATAAAACAAAAACAATATTGTAAATAAAACAATTACAAAAAATTCTTATTTTAAGCTGCTTTCAGTTACTTTTAAAAGCGTGACTTTACTTAATCCAGCCTAAAAGCAAGATGCTAGCAAGTAATTTGGCCAATACACCAAACTTTCATTGATACGCCATGAAAAACAGATTACATTCTTGGCACACATATTGTTTTTTTATTGAAAAATTCAGCCAGAGCAAATTTTGTGAACTTTGTTACCACCTTCAGTTTAACTGATCATCAGCTAAAAAGTAAAGACAAATAAATTTATGATATAAAAAAACTTCCGATTTACTTTCTTTTTTGAGATTATTATTATTTTTTAACTGAAACTATTATTCTAAAAATTATTGATTTTCATTTCTTAATGTTAAATGTAATCGCTTTTGATTGCAAGTAGAGTTTAATTATTGGTTAGTAAAAAAAGTGAATTTTAAAGTTTGCGCAGCTTGGAAAAGTTTCTATGATAATATTTTCTTACTTAAATATGACATTAAGGAAGATTAACAACTTGAGGCTCTAA